ACTTCTGCACATTTATATCATATCTAAATAAATTTTCATTCAATCTCCAAGTTCTTCTCTTCCCTTCTTCACCAAATAATTCCATCCACACCGGACTATGATCAGACAATGTCCTAGGAAAGATCTTAACGTTCTTCACCCTGGAAAGAAAGTCATTAATTATCAAAAAAAAGTCAATTCTCGAGTAGGATTGGTTCCTGTCCGAAAAAAAGGTGTAGTCTTTCTCATCCATATTCCGTTCCCTCCATATATCTTCTAGTTCCAGTTTCTCCTTCAGATCAAAAACAGTTTTTGGCAATATTGAATTAAAAGCTTTACAGGAACCTTTCTTGTCTTTTCTTGGATCTAAAACACCATTCCAATCTCCCATCATAATAACTGATTTTAATCCATTTGATTTAATTTCCGATGTATCAATTTATAAAACTGTTTCTGCTGTTGATTTGGAGCATATAACCCAATGATGAGACATTTCTTCCCATTCAAAAGCATTTCAATAAAAACATATCTTCCTTCTGGATCAGAATCAATCAATTTAGGCAAAAACTCCTTCTTAACATAAATAACTACTCCGCCTTTTTTCTGAGGCACAGGTGCAATAAAATGTATTCCCAACCGTGAGTTAGTCAAATACTTTTGATCTTTTGCTGTAATATGAGTTTCTTGCAAGCAAACAACATCATTTTTATGTTGCTTCAAATAGTAAAATATCTTTTTTCTTTTCTGCGGTGAATTCAAGCCATTAACATTCCATGTCAGGAACCTTGCCATCTTTAGTGGCAGAGAGCCTCAGGAACGCCCCTTGCAAATCAGCCGTCACTGATTTCTTCAGTCTCGTTCCTCCCACTGACTCTGAACTTACTTGCTGCGCTATGGGTACCACATCCACTTTTCGTTGCTCTCTTTCTTTACGTCTGTGAGCTGCACGGGTCATTCTCTGTGATTTTGGATCATCTTTAATTTCCAAAAGTTGTAACTCAGCTTGAGCTTGAGCTTGTAAATTAGTAACGCTTGATGATAATGTAGCTCCTTGAGTATCTTTATCTTCAGGAATTCTTTCCTTCCTAATACCTTGTGGGGACACTGCTGAACCTGCTTTCAAAATTGAACTATAAAAATCTTTTGCTTTTGCCACCATGTTAAGCCGATAACGTATGCCCATATAATTAACCATTATACCAGCTGGTATATCCCATCTGAATTGAATTTGTCTCACTTTCAATTCTTCAGCCAAAAAAGCAAAATCCTTTCTTCTTCTAAGTATCTTAGGTGGTATTTCTTTTAAGATTATCACGTCTTGTCCTAAAATTTGAAATCTCTGTTTGTAGAAAGCTTGAATAATTTCATTGCGGATTGATTTTCTTGAAAAGTAAATAACATCTCTTGGAAGTTTTCTCTGTCTTGCAACCTATGAGTTAACTCTGAAAATTTTTTCCATTTCTCTCATAATTTCTTCAGGTTGGCAGGACAGGACCAAGGCCAATTCTGCTGCAATTTCCTCTTCCAATTTTTCTTAGACATTTTCCCTCAGCCCTCTTATTCTCAACGCATGTTCCATTTCTCTAAATTGTGACATAAGAATCTCATTCTGATTTATATCAGCATTCTCTTCCACTTTCCCCAGTCTAATTTCCAAAATTTCAACATGTTCCTCCACTTCTTCCACATGCCCTTCAATGCGTTCTATGTGGCCAGCCAAACCTTGCAGTGCAAACACTATATCATCTCTCATCTCAACATTTTTTTCTTCAAGTTTCTCCTCAAGTTTCTTTTCAAGAAGCTCATCCATTTCACATCTAATCTGTTTGGCAGTGTCCTTTAGAGCATCTTGTAAATCTTTCAATGTTAAGGCTGGCATTGGAGGAGAGGGCGGGGGAGTAGGTTTTGTCTGCTGTGATGTTTGTACAGCTGGGGAAGAGGTCGAGCTTTTCTGAGGAGCAAAAGTTCCCCCACGCTTTGAAGCCATTTTACTTTCTCTTCTCTTCTCCTCTAATTTTATTTATATAACATAATGTCCAATAAAATTTTGTAGAAACTGCCACCAAAAACAGAAGCAAATGGCTTGCCCACCAGCAATACAAGCAAATCTGATGCAATAATAATCCAGCAGAAAATGAAAGTAGAATTGAAAGTCCCCAGAAAGTAAAAGTCTCTATCAAAGAGCAAAACGCCCTTCCGTGGCCATTTTTTTTCCTTTCTTCTTTAACTTAAAGTATCAATGGAGAAGCCTTATTAACTTCAGAGCTAAAGGCTCAAATCCTTCCAGCTTCCAAGCTCCTGGATCGCTCCGTCTGCTCACAAAAGTTTACTCACGGTCTCCCATAAGCAGAGGTTGAATCCGCGTCTGGCTTCGTTCACCGGAACGGAGGCAGCCTGAAGCGTGGAGAAGTCCCTGACTCCGGGGAAACTCACCTTCACCCCCACAGCTGTGAGACTGTGAGAGCTAGGGAGTTCTACCCCTATCAGGGAAGCTCCCCCCCTCCCCTTTGCCCGGGGAAGGGGATTCCGAGCCGCGGAGCAGCTGTTAGGCACTGCTCCTGCGGCTCTTACGCGTCCTCGGGGCGGGCAGCTCGAAGAAAAGCCGCCATCAGCACCGGAATTCAAACCGGAAGTCCCTTTCTTTTATCTTCTTTACTTTATGTTACTTTCTATTAGTTTTTATCTTTCGTTGAAAAGGTTCAATACAAATTATATAAAAAAATTCAAAAGGCAAACAGGATATCAGAGATCATTAAAATGGTACTGAAAACACAGAGACTAATGTCATAAAAGCCTTTATATAAATCAAGGGTGCCACCACATCTGGAATATTGTGGGCAGTTCTGGTCATCAGACCTCCAAAAAGGGCAGGAGGGAGCTGGGCAAGGTCCAGAGGAGGCGACCCAGAGGATGGGAGGGTTGAAGCAGCCTCCCTTGGAGGAAAAGGTTGGGACATTTGAGGCTGTTTGGCCTAGAAAGGAGGCTCCCCTCCACTCTGGCCGGCCTCCTTCCTCCTTCCTCCACCAGGGGGAGCTCTCTGGGTCCAACTCTGCTCCCCTGAGAGGCCAGCAGGGGGCCTGGAGGGATCTGGGGGGGATCCTTGGGGATCAGGGGCAGAACTGGCAGATCTCTGGGGTGTCTGCCTGGGGGGGTGGGTGAGGAAAGGGCAGAAGAAGGGGGGCTGCACCTCCTTGGGATGAAAGGAGGGAAAATGGCTGATGTTTGCGGAGAAAGTTTATCTCAGCCCAAAGCAGCCTCTGGTGACCCAGATATTTGCTTCCAATCTCTCCCCTAAATCAGGTTCCTTGAAGGTGAATATTGTGCCCCAAAGATGGCAGAAAGGGGGGGCTGCTGAAGAAGGCCTCCCCCCTCCAGGGCAGCCCCACCAAGAGGGCAGCGGAGGAGTCCAGCCGGAGGGACCAAGGATGGGAAGCCATCAGCGCTCTGAGCGACTCAGGAAGGGCCCCAAATGGGGGTTTCTTTCTTTCTTTTCTGTCCTTTTTCCCCTCAAGATTGGGAGGATCCTGGAAGTGATCCTGTGCCCCCCCAAGAGCCCTCCCACCCCTATTTGGCCTCCTGGCCTCTCCTTCCACCTGGAGGGTGAGAAGAGGCTCCTGCCATTTTGGGCCCCACTCATCCCTCCAAAAAGAGGTGAAAGAGAGGGATCTAGTCAACCCAGATGGATTTGCAGTTGATCCCTCATTTCTCTGGGGTGGAAACAGACAGAAAAACAAGGATCTGCTTCCCCCAGGATCTCCTTAGGATCCACCTGCTTCTTTTCTGGGAGGAGAGGGACCTGGATTCGCCTCCCTCCCCCACAGCAGGGGGTCCACCAAGACCAGGACCCTCCGACTTTCATGGGGGGAGGGGAGATTTCGGTCTCTTTGAACTCAGTTTATATCCATATCCACATCCTATCAACTTACAGAGAGATGGAGGGATAAATTTTAAAAAAACCTGCAATTGGCAAAAAACATCAGCTATGGAGGCAACCACAAGCTTATACTGATTTTTAAAAACAGAAGAAACATATTAAAAAAGTTTTTTCTAAATGTCAGGAAGCAGCCTTTCCCCTTGAAGGGACCCCCCTTTCTCCCCCCTCTGGTTCCTGGTTAGGGGATTATGGGGCAGGAGGAGCCACCTGACCCATCACTCACCTTCGCTCTGATTGTAGCGAAGCCTCAGATTCTCCAGGTTTCTTCTGAACGAATCCTCAGCAACAAAAAAATTCTGGGTGTTTCTCTCCCTGTATTGGGGGTCCTCCTTCTCCACCTTCTCCATCCAGGAGACTCGAGGCTGCACCCTCCGGCTCTTGCTATCATAGTGAACAAAGACCTGACCGTCCACGTATCCCACAGCGACAAAGTGGGGCAGCCCCTGACTGGGCTCCAAGATGGAGGAGGAGAAATACTTCAGGGAGTGCGAGGAGGCGCCTGGAAGGGACCCAGAGGGGCAGAGTTAGGGGGCTCCAGTCAAGGACCCAGATCCTATGGAGGCCCCAATCTGAGGCTCTGGGGGGAAAGAAGGAGAAGGAGAAGGAGAAGGAGAAGGAGAAGAAGAAGAAGAAGGAGAAGAGAGATGGGGGAGGAGAAAGGGGTAAAGGAAGGGGGAGAGGATGGAAGAAGAGGCAGGAAGAGGAAGGAGGGAGTGAGTGAGAGGGAAAGAAGAAGCTTTTTGGAGGCCCTGAAGGGTTGGAGGGCAGGGAAGGTGGGGTGTGAGAGAGGAGGGGAAGGTCGGGTCCCCCAAACATTACATGCCAAATTGCACACTCCCCCCTTCCAGCAAGGCCTTCCAGAAAGCTTGGGAGGGGGTTGATCATGGCTACCCAACTCTTCACATGATCAATGACTCTCAACATCAAGGCCTAAATTAGAGTTTCTCAGACTCAGCCACTTGGAGTTGCCCAGAATTCCCCTCACCCGGAAGAAACC